ATATACATATATATATATATATATATATATATATATATAAATAATATCCTGTTGTCCCTGCGTACCACTGCGCTTACCTGGATTTCTGGTTTGGGTGTGTACAAAGTTTTAGCCTGAATTGTTGAAGGTGCCTCTTCATCTAAGAACTTCAGCACAACGTCAGCCTTTGAGAAAAATTAAGTCTAATAAAGACTAAATCCATGTCTTTTTGTAAGGACAATGACAATTCAACATTAACAAACATGTCAGAAAAAAGACAAAACCAGAGTTCTCTAATGAAAATAACTGCCTTACCACGTTCCACAAAATGGGGTTCTCCAGCGTAGCGTCTCCCATCATCAAGTAAAGAGCATAGGTGCCAGAGATGGAGTCAAACTCTGTCTTTCTCTCAGTTGTGTCCAGCTCAAACTTATACAAATTCTTACTGTCGGGTTCAGCCACAAACACGACCTCCTGACCTGTCTTCTGGTTGTGTAACCTCACAAAGGTCTGAAAGCAATGACTTGAATCAGTTCATTCAAATGTTTTTGAACAGTGCATTTGCTTGAAGTGAGACTTTGATGACATGGGCTTAATCAATGACAGTTTTAAGAATCAAAACCTCACAAAAAGGCTTGTCTCTCTAATGAAGGCAAAAACATAAGACTATAAAATGAAGGCAGAATGTATTCACTTGTCATGCTTTATGCATAAAAGAAAAGCATTTTGGATGGGATAATCACCTGGTGGGGGGTGAGCTCCACTCCTGTGGTCTCATCAACTAACTGGAACGTCATGGCAAAGTTTTGATGGCTGTCTGCCATAAAAGATGCTTTGGCTTTAGTTGGATATTCTACTCTGAAAGACAGAGATCAAACATATGCTGGCTCAATTATATAATAAAATGAAAATTCATCAAATAGAGCTTGATAAAAGCTAATCTTACCTGGTAGTTTTGGGGCCAATGCTCTGGTCCTTGTCCACGACAGACAAATCCATGTTGTTGATGGCAACTCGGGTAGAGACCTTTACCTTGAGCTGAGAAAGTAAATCGAACAAGTTTCAATCTAAGGCTTTAAAATCACAATACAATAAATTATTTCAATCCATTAAAATGGACACTCGTAAGTGTGAATATGCTGGAAGAAAGAAAAAACTACAGCAATCACAGTAATTGTGCCTTTTTTTTTTACTTTGTTCAGTGAAAGAGGCCAATGACTTCTCCACAGCAAATGTGACATGCTCTTGACCTTATAATTGTACACTGAACAGTCAGAGCAATTATTCTTTACATAGCTACAATGTGAATGAACACACTCTAGACCAATTAAACGTGAATGTTGAGTGAATGAGGAAATGAATCACAGTTCATTGCAACAATTAAAGAGTTAAACGCTGAGGTCAACACATTGAGGTCACGACAAGGCACGACACATAAGATACAGAACAGATACAAACAACTAAACTTTTGATTTTCCTAGCACATTTCAAAGATTCAGTTAAGTACCTCAACATGGTTGGCAACAAATCGGCTGTCACCAGCAATGGCAACAGAGAACTGATAGTAGCCACTCGCTGGTTGGCTGGCCATGAAATTCAGCTCAAAAACCTCACTGTGAAACAAAGGACAGTCTTTAAAACACAGGAAATATTTCCAAATTAAATTATCAATGTTGTCAGGCATATTATGTTACTTATCCAGAGTTTGGAACTCTTTTACGGAGTAAAATATTCAATAATAAAATATTAAAGCACTGTGCACACTACATAAAGGGATAGATTTTCACACTTGTCATGTTTGGCTCGATTAAAACAAACCCTGGTGCGATTGCTCTGTTAGTGCGATTCATTTGAGCATGTGTGAACGCTGCCATCCGAACCCTGGTGCGCACCAAACAAGCGGACCGATGGTGTATTCACACCTGTCTTGTTTGGTTCGATTGAATCGAACTCAAGTTCGTTTCCCCCCTTGGTGCGGATCTTTTGGACAGGTGTGAATACAGCACTCAGATGGACCAAACAACCGCACCGAGACCCAGCTGAAGAGGTGGTCTCGGTCCGGTTCCAAACGAACTCTGGTACACTTGAGAATTTCTGTCTCGGTCCGGTTCCAAACGAACTCTGGTACGGTTGAGAATTTCTGTCTCGGTCCGGTTCCAAACAAACTCTGTTACGCTTGAGAATTTCTGTCTCGGTCCGGTTCCAAACAAACTCTGGTACGCTTGAGAATTTCTGTCTTGGTCCGGTTCCAAACAAACTCTGGTATGCTTGAGAATTTCTGTCAAATTAATGGATGACCTTTAGCACACGTTTGGTTTTGTTTACAATTTTTGGTTCACTTGCAAAAAGGGCAGTGTGAAAGCGAACCACACCAAACAAAAAAAAATCAACATTGTATTTGGTCCGGACCAAAGCAAGTCAAGTCAAGTCACCTTTATTTATATAGCGCTTTTAACAATACAGATTGTGTCAAAGCAACTGTACAGCATTAATTAGGAAAATATTGTGTCAATAATGCTAAATGATAATAGTAAACACTCAATTTTCAGTTAAAGGCAGTTCATCATTGAATTCAGTGATGTCATCATCCAGCTCAGTTCAGTTTAAAAAGTGTCTGTGCAATCAAGTCGACGATATCGCTGGATGCAAGTGAACTAGCGGACTTTCCTGGTGTGAATACACCCCGAGACCGCTGAAAAGATGGGTCTCGGTCTGCTTCCAAATGAACTCTGGTGCAGTTCGAATGATATATGAACGCAACACGGACCAAATACTTCTGAACGAACCAAAAACAGGAAGTAATGACAAGATGCGACGCTATGCGACATGATTTGACGACGCGGTGTAACCAAAACAAAATGAGCAGAGGTGGAGCAACGATGAGGTAAAGTGCCTTTTATGAGCTCCTTGTGAGTTTGCAGGTGGTGAAAATAAAATTATATGTACACACAAGAATAAGCGCGTTTAGTCCAGCAGACGGCAATAGGTGTGTTCGCCTGAAAGCGGCGCTGAGCGGACCGATCAGTTAATGGGTGCTTTGATATCATACACCCGCAGCGCTGCTTTAAGTCTAACGCACCTTTTGTTTGGGGTGTTCGGTGAGTTCAGTCACGATATATACGCCATTCAAGCCGACCAATCAGGTTGTGAACGTATCACTATGCCGTTAGGTTCGGTGTCTTTAGGTTCGCTGTCAAAAATGCCAATGTGAACGCTAAGCGGACCAGGACCAAATGTATCATTTTCCTTTTTGGTCCGGACCAAATGAACCAAACTACAAGTGTGAACTCACGTATGGATTATAGATAAACTCATAAACTCAAACGTACGTGATTGACGCGCAAGAATAAAACTCATTGGTTCTTGCTGGTCAAGCATGCACGTTTGAACTGTCGTTTAACATATTTAATGTGCTCTATCTATGTGTGATGATTAATGTTTATATATGAATAAAAGCCTAAATTAAATATGTTCATCATATAAAGCAGGGTTCCTCAAATCTTGCCCTGGAGGGCCAATGCGCTGCAGAGTTTAGCTCCAACCCTGATCAAACTCACCTACCTGTGATTTTCTAATGATCCTGAAGACATTGATTAGCATGCTCAGGTGTGTTTGATTAGGGTTAGAGCTAAACTCTGCAGGAAAGTGGATCTCGCGGGCCAGATTTGAGGATCCCTGATATAAAGTGATTGTGTCTTTTTTCAGAAGAATTAGATCAAACCACCTGATTTATATGGATTATTTTTCAAATGTTATTATGTACATTTTAAAGCTTGAAAACTGATTGCGTATTCAATGGATGGTCAAAAATAAAGAGAATACAAAAAAAAAAGTTGATTTGTGTTCCGAAGATGAATGAAAACTTATGGGTTTGGAAAGGCATGAGGATGAGTACATTTTTGGGCAAACTAACTCTTTAACTTTTTTAATGAAGTATGTTTAGTAGCATGTTCGTTTTTTCTGCAGTTTCAAAATTTGTATGGCAAATGGCATTATCCATTATTTTAAAGTCGTCAACTGCAATGCACATACTCTCTGAGGGTGAATGGTGCCTGGCTTAGGATGGCAGATTTTGATGAACTAGTACTGGCTGACTCCACCAGCACACTTGCTGAACTGAGGGGCTGGCAAAGGACATCCGTCACCTGAAGCTGCAGTAACAAACACAGACATTACAGATCATTACAGTTGAGTAAACAAAAGAACAAAACAATGAAACAAACTAAATATAATAAATATAAATATATAGATATAGAGAGATAGAGATAGATAGATAGAGAGAGAGAGAGAGAGAGAGAGAGAGAGAGAGATAGATAGATAGATAGATAGATAGATAGATAGATAGATTACACACTCAAAACTGAGGCCTACCCGGAGGAAGGGCTGGCTGTGGGATATAGCAGCAGGGCCCTGGGCACTGACAATGACGGGCACATGGAAGCGATTGTTGGAAAGTGATTCAGCTGCACTAGCCACACTGAATGCCTCTGACAGAGAGTCCCAAGACTTCTTACTGAAGATGGAGTTCACTAGCTGGATTACCTGATCCTGTGATGGACAAGTGGAGGAGCCATTTATCTTGAGACAGCACTTCAAACACTTACAGAAAGTATTTGCTGTACATAGTTACAGCTTTATTTTGAGTGGGCTAAACTGTGAACCTCTTTCAGGGGGGGCTCCATGTCCACATGATCGGACAGGGCATACGCAGCAGAAACAAACAGTGCTGTGGCCTCCAGCCCCTCCTCAAACTGAAGATACACTCCACTCAGATCATCTAAACGGGCAGCGAGATCCTACAATGAAGAAAAATATACAAATCATACTAGAATTCCAAAAAATAATTAAATAAAAAGCTGTTTTCTGGTACACAGCAAATGTGACCAATCAGAAAAGTTTGAAACACAGTGCAAAGTAGATTTGTCTTCAGTTGACTGTTAATAACAACACTTATGTTACTTATTATAGGACCATTAAGATTTTTTTTCTTCGTATTTTGCACATATAATTGTAGCAAATGAATATTATTTCTATTTTTTTTAACTGGTATGAAACATGACCCTGGACATGTGTGAGATTTACCCATAAGCAGTTAGTAACAATCAATTAAAATATACATTAATTAAAAAAATAACATTAATTGTTCAGATTAATTCACTACCCTAAAATAGCCTACGGAAAGTCAAATTGTTATACTAACTGAATTACATTGTAAATAGTGGCGGTACTTGCTGGTGGAACGACCTGCCCAACTCAATCCGAACAGCTGAGCACTTAGCCATCTTCATGAAACGGTTAAAACATCTCTTCCATCCACACTTGACCCAATAACACTAGCACTCTCTATCCTATTTCTGGTTACACTTTAATTTAAGGTGCTCTTGTTACAGTGTAATTATACACATAAGTACTGAGTAATATTAATTAACTACATGTACTTACTATAAGATCAGGGTTAGGATTTGGGTTTGGTTTAGGGTTACTTGCATGTAATTATGCATAATTCATTGTTATTATAATTTTAAGTACAAAAAATAAAGTGTTACCCTATTTCTATTTCATCTACTTATCTACTTATTTTCTTTTCATTTAAAAAAAAAAAAAAAAAGACCCTCTAACCCTTAAATAAAAGTAATTGTGATGCTTGCCTTTACCTTCAAGTCCACCAATTAATCCTAGAAAAAAAGACACTTGACAAATGAGTCTTCAATACTCTTTCTTAAATACAGTATAATCTTGGAGACTTTCATGAATTTGTTTAGCTTAAAACAAATGAAAAACAAGCATAATCATAAAAAAAAAAAAAAAAAAAGACCCTCTAACACTAGCGTTCTCTATTCTTTTTTTATTCTTTCAACTTGTTTTTTTTTTATTTATTAAAAAAAAATTGTGAACCCTTTACAATTTTCTATATTTCTGCATAAATATGACCCAATTCATCATCAGATTTTCGCACAAGTCCTGAAAGTAGACAAAGAGAACCCAATCAAACAAATGAGACAAAAATATTTTCTTGAGAAATGTATTGAGAAAAATGACCCAGTGTAACATTTCTGTGCGGTGCAAAAGTATGTGAATCTTGTCTGGTGTGACCCAATTTTGCAGCAGTAACTGCAGGTAAAGTTTCTTGTAACTGCTGATCAGTCCTGCACAACGGCTTGTATTAGTTTTAGCTCATTCCTCAGTACAGAACCACTTCAACTCTGTGATGTTATGGGTTTCCTCCTATGAACTGCTTGCTTCAGCTCCTTCCACAACATTTCAATTGAATTAAGGTCCAGACTCTGACTCAGTCATTCCAAAACATTAACTTTGTCTTTCTTTAACCATCCTTTGGTAAAATGACTTGTGTGCTTGGGGTCGTTGCCTTGCTGCATGGCCCAGTTTCTCTTGAGACTCAGTTCTCGGACAGATGTCCTGACATTTTCCTTTAGAATATGCTGGAATAATTCAGAATTCATTCTTCCATCAATAAGAGTAAGTCGTCCTGGCCCAGATGCAGCAAAACAGGCCTAAACCATGATACTACCACCACCATGTTTCGCAGATGGGATGAGGTTCTTATGTTGTAATGCAATATGTTCTTTTCTCCAAACAGAACACTTCTCATATAAACCAAAAAATTCTATTTTGGTCTCATCTGTCCACACACCATTTCTCCAGTATTCCTCTGGCTTGTCCGCATGATCTTTAGCAAACTGCAGACTGGCAGCAATGTTCTTTTTGGATGCACCATGCACATTCTCAATAAATAAATGACAACGAAAACATTTTTGTCTCATTTGGTTGATTGGGTTCTCTTTGTCTACTTTCAGGACTTGTGCGAAAATCTGATGATGAATTGTGTCATATTCATGCAGAAATTGTAAAGGTTCACAAACTTTCAAGCAGCACTGTATATACATATATATAAAAACCTTGCTACGTGTACTGCGTTAGACTAACCGAGACCTGTCACAGCTCTTACATATTATTGCTCTTTTGCTTTGATTGCTTCTATTGCCCTTATTCGTAAGTCGCTTTGGATAAATGACTAAATGTAAATATAATCCAAATATATTTGAGTACTCAAACGTGACATTGATAATTGATCATGTAAACAATGATCATTTGGCCTGATAGGTTAGCGATGGGACAGCATACCATCAAGACCTGAGTATCAAAGTGAAAGTAAGGCTCTGAAAGTGCACAGTGATGCAAGGAATCACTTGATAATAAAAATTATAAATGAAAACAGTGTTGTAATATAATCTATGTTGTAAATTCTTTGTGCACCTGTATTGTAGCATGTGAGATTTTGTGCAAATTTAAGTTGTAATTTTAGGTTTATGTTGTATATATCTGATTAATCCTATGCAGGACACATTTGGTTAAGTTAAATAATCAGCTGTGCTACCAAAGTACTTAATTTACTGGTGTTCATTCTAGGGGTCGACCGATTATCGGCCTGGCCGATTATCTGCGCCGATATTAAGCATTTTTATGATTATCGGTATCGGTCATTTTCAAAACCGATTCGCTGATAAAATAACTTACTTTTGAAACGCGCTATTTGGCTCTGATGCAGCCCGTCAGAACTCACCACTCTGTGGCCTAAAGCAATCTCCGCCCACCGCCCATCTGATTTGTTGGGAGTCACGAGTCCGACCAATCAATGCGGAATTCACTCTCACTCTGAAAGCGCTTGCTAACTGGAGCTGCTTCAGTGATCACGCATCAGTTGTCTCTTAAGGTAAGGCAGCAGCAGACGTTGCTTAAGTTGCAATAAATCACAATCCACTAACGTTACACTGAAGTTGCAAAACACCTCAATATTATCTCTGATTTCCGCGAAGCAGAAAAAACTGACGGAATCGCGGAACCCAGTCATATAAATGGAATTTACTGTATATGACGCGGAATGTCACGGAATTTGTCAGTGTGGATGAATTAATCAAAAGTAGGTCAGTACACTTAAATAGAGTCGCAATATGGACTAGAATATGTAAATATTAAGCCGCAAAAATACTATTTAAATATGAATCCAGCATGTTCTTCGTGTCTCTGTGTATGTAAATGGCACAGACGCGCGGTGTTGTTTTCTACACAAAGTGTGCGACGTTCGCGGTGATTTCAGCTTCTGTCGTATCACTACATGAGGACATAAATACATGAACAACATCTCCAGAACTGCTCTGACTCCCTCTGAGAGTCACTTCATGAGCATTTGACAGTTTCATTGGAGTAAAACTATCTTCATATCATTTACATAGACTACAGAAACAAGTCCCTCATGGCAACCCGTCAAAATATAGGTTCAGGTTAGCTTAAAGAAATGCAGTATGATATACATAATACTACTCAGGGATGAAATTTTTCCATCGCTACGACGGATTTCCGTCAATTGGAAAAAATGAGGGGAAAAGAAACATGTAGCACATTGTTGTTGTTCTGCCGGCATTGAGAACTCACTCGCTCTCATTTTCTGTGCGCCCACAGATCGCGATAAGGAGAGTGACAGCTTTTAATAATTATTAAAGGAGTTTGCAAATGTGATATTGATTTAATACAACAGTTCAATAAACAAGTACTGCCTGATTTTGAAACAAATCATCAACGCAAATAGTTCCAAATAAAGTAACAGCAGAGGTGTTTCATTCATGAATGAAAGTGCGTTTTTGAACGTCAGTGATTCATGATTACCCATTCATAAAGACAGTCACTTGCTCTGAATGAATCAGCTGTTCAAACGAATCACCAGACATATATATCGGTTTAAAATATCGGTTATCAGTCTACTTGATCTGTAATAATCGGCATCGGTCTTGAAAAACACATATCGGTCGACCCCTAGTTCATTCACTTGTCAGCCTCAGCACAGCTCAAACAGCAACATCATATTCTATTTAGATGTTTCTTTTTAAAAATATTGATGATATTATTAATGACCTAGCAGTGTTTTTTTCTCATAATTTTCTTCAACAGTATGTTTCAATTTAAAATGATTTCTTGTTATGGCGTCAAAAAAATGCAGGGACGAATCACATGATAATGAAGAAAATGCAGTTGTGCAATTAAGTGCAAGATGTGCAACACCAAGCTGTCCCAGGATATGTACGTTACATTATAATTAGCAAACTATTTTAATAGAATAGTGCTTTTTTTTGTGCTTTTGCACCATGTCGTTTCAGTGTGATCCTACAGGAAGAGAGCATTCACAATGGGAGTTACACGTTCTGACTAGCACGTAACTTGTGCATTCACATAATTTTGTGAAGATCGAGTATATAAATTATCAATTTCTAAAAGAAATGTGCATTTAAATAGAAAAGAAAATCATATTTTACAGAAAATCTACTTTTATGACCATATAGCAACGTTTCCCTAAGTTTTTTAATTTCAGTAGTCTGGTCTAGGCTTACAGTTGACTGTTCTGTGGCTAATAAATCTGAAGTGACATACTAAACTCTCACCTCAATCTCCTCCAGGATATCTCCAAGTTCAGCTTGCTGAGAGAGACGGGACGCAGTCTGTAGTGCCAAAATGATTCTGACAGGAGAAGAGAAAATCAGAGTTAGGTCTCAAAATCAAACTAAATAAAAAGATACCACAAAGCAAGCCTCAAGTCAAAACAACGTAAGGAAATGTACTTACGTCAAGACATTATCCTCTTTGGAGATGCGAGCTTTCAGGGCACTGACCACTTCCTGTGAGGCCAGAGGCAACCCAAGAGAGCTGAGAGCACTCACAGACTGATGGATCTGAGAGGCAGTGGAGTCCTCACTGACAGTGGCCAAAAGCAAATCACGAGTGTCATTTGACACAGGAATCTGTCAGGATCAAAATACAGCATCAATTTGTGGATTTGCTAGTGAAAATTACTGTGTGCAATGTGACGCATTATTTCAAAGTGACTTTTTGGCCGCCCAGCGAAACATCAGCTTGGCCAAGGAGACTAGCTTAAACTAGCCAAGTCCACCAAACCATGTTTAAACAGGTTTTTTCAGGAGGTTGAGCAAAGAAAGGTCTTTTAACTTAAAGGCTTAGTTCACCCTAAAATGAAAGATCTGTTACCATTTACTCAACTTCATGTCGTTCCAAACCCTTAAGACTTTCATTCAATTTCGGAATAGTAATGAAGATATTTTTAATATTTTCTTATCCTTTTTGTTCATCCACTGAAAGCCCAAACAACCAAAACTTCCATGTAGTAAAAAGTACATTATAAAACGGATAGTTCCGGTCCTTGATTCTGATTGGTTGAGCCGCGTTCGAAGCTGTTGTAAATTACTCTACAAACATACACCTTTGTTTACTTCTGTGTGTTGCTCGGCAACTACTTTGTTGGAACCATAGACATAATAAATACCTAGACGCCTCATTGGCCGCTCGACCGCACGTCAACGTCACTGCCATATTGGTGCGGGCAACTCTCCATAACTCTCATATTGGGACAGGCGAAAACATACCTGACTCGGTATTAGCTTGGGCATCTACAAACCGTCGCACAATAATAAAAACAGATCTCGGGGTATTATCTTTCACAGGTAAGACTGAACAGTTGTTTCTGTGTGTTTTTTGGTCATTTTTAGCATTATGTTGACAGCTTAATTAGCCACCAGTGTCAGACTATTAATAGCTAGTGATGTCGCTAGTAAGCTGTGAAAGCTAAGACAATATGAAATCAAAGTTTAAATGAATTCTTATTCAGTTTTAACTTTATATTGTAGTTTATATCATAAAGTAAATTGCGTTATGAGCACAATACAGTGAGCACTTTGACAAGACAATGCCAGACTGTCAGGATTAGGGATGGAGCTAAATCATCTCTCTTTAATTTCACTAACGTTACTTATTTACAAAGAGTAAGTTTATCATCACTTGATTATAAGGATTTCATAGCTTATCATAAATCTGTGGACTTATTATATATATATATTTTTCCTTTTTAGCCAATTGCAAACAGGACAACGCAAGCCTTAAAAACCCTGTCACTTAGTATAGTATAATTTAAATATAGTAAGTATGTCTGAAAAAGCACAATTTAAATATATTTATTTTTCACCTGGGCAGAATTACCCTGGTCGTATTCAAACCTCTCCCCCTCCATCAAAATGTGTGTTTTCTGCATGGGTGTGTGTAATTTGCATTGTAGAGCAAAATGTCAAGCATTGTCAAGTTGTTTACATTATTTTACTCATTAATTGAATAAAATATAGGAAAATCTTGAGGGAAGCGGTGGAGAATTAGTCTTTATTAGTCACGTTTTGTCATCACAACTAAACCACTCTATTCCTAGGGAAAGCTAGAACTGAAAACTTAAATAAAATGTGTACCTTGAGATGAGATTGATTCAGAGGATTTTTTATTATTATACATACATATATATATATATATATATACAGTGGGTACGGAAAGTATTCAGACATCTCTTTGGATTTGAGACTTTAGTCTTTGCAACTTTACAGATCTTCATTATGCACCAAGAGCTTGTAACACTCCAAAGAGAAAGGAAAAATTGAAATCGCATCATATGACCCCTTTAAGGAAAGCTGAAGAAAGCCTGTTCTCTGCTTTTCCAAGAGAGTAGGCTATACTTCCACAGCCTAATGTTGTATTTGTACTAGTTAAAACCCAGAATAGCCCTGAATGAATGGCCAGAATTACCCTGGTCATATTCAAACCACACACTCTTTCTCTCTCTCTCTCTTCCCCGACTTTATCAAAATGTGTGTTTTCTGCATGGGTGTGTGTAATTTGCATTGTAGAGCAAAATGTCAAGCATTGTCAAGTTGTTTACATTATTTTACTCATTAATTGAATAAAATATAGGAAAATCTTGAGGGAAGCGGTGGAGAATTAGTCTGCCATGTATATGTCACAATTATACTACATTAACATTAGAATTGTAAACCGAACAAATCAACCAAATCAACAAGTGAGACAAGTGTGAGCTTTCACAATTTCTTACGAAAATTAATAATTTTCCAAACCTAGCTAAATAACTGGAGGCAGAGTTATTTTTAACTCCATGTAGATCACAAACCTCTGAAATCGGTTGATAAATGTAAACGTTATCGTGTTTTTATCCAGAAAAAAAACGCAGCTCCTCCCCCGTTTACCTCCATTTAATTTTAAAGCAGTCTTGCCCTCACAAACATGGCGGACGCATTGACGTATCGCAGCAACGGCTCAAAGCGGCAAATGAGGTGTCTAGGTATTTATTATGTCTATGGTTGGAACCACAACTGTTTCTAAGGAACTACAAAATTGCTGAAAATTGTTTGGTGGAAGAATACTGTTTTTATTTATATCATTACACCTTATTTGCCATTTTATTCTGTGAAACCTTACGTATATGGAATAACCGTTTTATAAAAGCAATAAGCCCCGTGAAGGGTTTACAGTGAATTTATAACAGCTAAGGGGGTTTTAGGTACTCCGCTTCGCGTCATGTCTAACAACACCCCTTAGCTGTTATAAATTCACTGTAAACCACGGCTTCTTGGGGCTTATTGCTTTAAAAAGACATTGTAAAACTAATCCACATGAATAAAGCAGTTTAATTATTCTTCTGAAGATACAAAATTGCTTCATATAATATGATAAACATTTAATTTAGGCTTTTATTCATACATAAACAATGCTCTTACATAGAGCACATTAAATATAGTAAACACGGAGGCTCAACTATACTTGCCTGACACCGGAACAAACCTCACTGCTTCTTGGGGAAGCTTGAACATGCTTGCGTGACACACGAAAACAAAGCAAGCAAGCATGGTTGAGCTTTGTGTTTACCATATTCGATGAGCTCCATCTGACCATCCATCTGTTTATCACATAAAACGGTCGCCAGAAGACTTAGATTAAACTTTTCAATTCTTATGGGTTACGTTTACAATGTAAACATTTTGAAGCCCCAAAGTTTGGTTGCGTGGACTTTCAATGGAGAGACAGAGAAGTCTCCAGTTTCATTAAAAATATATTGATGATATTTGTGTTTTGAAAATGAATGGGTTTTGAACAACATGAGGGTGAGTGATGGCAGAATTTTCTTTATTTTTTTACTTAAGTAACCCTTTAAAAAAATATCTAATTAATTATACAAAAAAAAACTTTTTGGGTGCTTTTAACATATCGTTATGTTTAACAGAAAATAGTAATACTTATAATAATACTATATAATTTTATTATTATAACATTGATATTCTGATGTCATTGTTCTTTAAAGCACGGGCAATAGAGAGTTTTCTTTTTTGCCTTTGTTTCTATATATATATATATATATATATATATAGTATTATCAAGTATTATCTGTCAACACTGCATTGGCTCCCTATTAAGCATTGTATACATTTAAAAATTTTGCTGATTGCATATATAAATCCCTGAATAGTTTAGCTTCTCAGTACTTGAGTAAGTTCCTGTCACATTATAGTCCTTCACGCTTCTTGCGGTCCCAAAGTTTTAGTGCCTAAACTTTGAAACAGTCTACATAACACTGTTCAGGAGGCAGACACACTCTGACAGCTTAAATGTACATTAAAGAGTAATCTCTTTAACCTAGAATACACAACACTTTTTCACATTTCTATAATTCAAATCCATCAAAGGACTGTTAGGCTGCATTAATTAGGGCAACCGGAATGGGGAACACTTCTCATAACACCCAGTGTACTTGTTACATCAAAAGAAGAATGGCATCTACGCTAATATTAGTCTGTCTGTCTCATCCTTATCCTGAGGTTACCATAGTTTGATCCAGCCTGTATCCAGACCAGATGAATTGAATTAAGCGGAATTAATTAACTATTGTCTTCTGTAGAGCTGCTTAATAGCTGAATCACATCTTGCAACATCGACACTTTATCCAAATGAATTGAACCAACACTGAACTGACTCAAGCTGAATAACCACATTACTGCCTTTTGTACAACTACTAATAGCTGAATTGAACTTGTTTCAAAAATTGATGAATGTTACACTTCTGAACCAACACTGAACTGACTTGAGCTAAATAAATGACACTATTGTCTTCTTAAAGCTGCTTTACAGTAGAATCTAATTAGCCTCCATAACCAAGTTTCCATAATTAATTCTGCTATTTTCTTTCTTATTACTGTGAAGCTGCTTTGAAACAATCTGTGTTGTATACAGTGCTATAGAAACTACGGTGACCTGACTCAATGTTAATTTTGTAGTAATTATGGATATGGAGGCATGAAAAAAAAATGTATTGCGACACCAACATTTTTTTTGAATCTGCTCCAAATGCTTCAAAACAGTAAGGTAGACAAAGAACCCTACATCAAATGACAGCAATTCAACTTGAACAGTCAGTGCATCTCAATCAGCTCCCTAGCTCGAGAATCAGCATATTGTATACACAAATTTGGACACTAGTAAAGGAACCTGGCATTCTAGTGAAAGGATTTGCAATTGAGGTAGCCCTTAAATTGGCTGACTCCTAGGTCAGTGCCCTGACTACTGAGCTAGGGATCTGATTGACATGCAACCAGTGATCAAGACAAAAAGGAGAGTGAAGATGTATTTTACCTCACATCCAGACAGAGCCTGGCTGGCTTCTGCGGCATAAAAGAGTGACTCCACACTAGAGGGATCCAGGTTTGACTTGATAAACTGGCATGTCTCCTGAGGTAGACAAATAAGACAAAATTTGAGACAATAATAAAGACTCACTAATATTAATTATTTTTTTTAAAATAATGTCTTTCACCATTATGAAAGATATTTTTTCTTACATCTGCATCCGCAACTAAGATTCCCAACTTGCTAAGTCCAACAACAGAGTAATAAGCAGACTTGAGGTCAGTGAAGGGTTGGCTCAATACAGCCTGAAGTCTGGCCACATCAGTGGTGGTCAGATGATGGGTTGGGGTCAGGGCCTGGGTCTCAAGAACCATGGACAGGACCAACAGGCTAAACAAACCTTCAAATGGGTACATACACAAAGAATACAGTTCATATGATGACACATAAGTATCTTAAGGTAATTACACTTAAGGGATGCGTTTGACTCCTAGGAAAGCATAATGTGCATTTTGAGGGTGTGGAAAGAGCTGGGCTGTTTGAAATCAATTGGAAATACTGAAAATTGGATGTTTTTAATAATCATTCTATAGACACTGCCCTTACAAAGAGCAATTTCTAGCTGATTAAATATTTTTTTACAGTTGAGCTTAACTTGTCCATGACTTTTCCAGGCCTATAATCACAATATTACAAATTCCCAGCTGAAACCTTGAAGTGTCCTTATTAATCCTTATATAACTTCACAACAGAAGTGAGAGAGAGAGAGAGAGAGAGAGGGAGGGGAAAGGGGAAACTTTAGGGCCTTATATTAGATATAAACACCAGAATTGTCATGTTCAATGCAAATGCTATCAAATACAGAAGCTATAACATACTGCTAATATAATGACTTAACGAAACTATACATGTTCACCTGACACTGGATAAATACTACGCTCAACACTACTGAAAACATCTAATATCATAGTCACTCATATCAGAATAAATGCAGGTACTGATTGCCTGGTGCCTGCAAACAACTGTTCGGATAAAATGTGACAAACTGCATTCCCAACATCAGCCTAAACATGTCAGCAACGCATCACTGTTTACTCTTACAATGATTAAATGAACAAAAATCTCAAACAAAAGCATAAAAACTTGCAGAAATGCCACTTACAAAGATGAGCCATGTCGCCTAACGCACCGTCACCAAAAGCTCAGAGAACTTCCGGGTTATGCGGATTAAACTTATTTCACCAATATAGGGTGACATGTGCGTTCATTTGATCTAATAATAGACATTATACATTAAAAATGAATACCCCAATGATACATATTGTATGTAAAATGTAAAACATGTATGTGATAAATAAAACATGCGCAAATATGTAACATGTATGATATGGACATTACATTGAGGCACATATTACCCCTACGGACTAAATGTGGTGTGAGCCAAGTCATGTAAAAATGAATGAAACATGGGAGAAACAGTAATACGTAAACTTCCAAACTACTTTTTATAATAGTGTACATTAGAAATAAATCTTTTCACAAATGATCACGATTGCACTGTTTGAGTGAGAAATAAAAATGCTCTCGCGCGGTAAAAGACGGAAGGTGTGTGTTGTGCTTTGTGTCTGTTTGTGATTGGCCGTTTCCAGTCCTCGTTTCTCATTTCAGCCAATCAAATACAGGATAACGCCCCATGAAAAGTGATAATTTGTACTAGTCAGCTAGTCGGTGAGGATTTTGATCTGATCTTTTCATTTCGTTCACCAACGAGATTTGTTCACTGGCCCTTTTCATAATTAAGTTTAATCATTACTTCTTTAGGTGGTGACAAATACATTTACTTTTATGCCCCAAAAACTATTTGCATATGCTGCTTGGCCACAACTGAAAATGCATAAATGCAGTAGCATTAAAATCTGGAATCACTATAGTTTTTATTTAAAAAAAGAAACTAATACTTTTATTCCACAAGAATGAATTAAATAGATTAAAACGACATTTATAAAATTACAAAATATTTCTATTTCAAATAAATGCTGTTCTTCAAACCCTTTGTTCATCTGTGAATCCTTAAAGCAGACACTGTATCACAGTTTGCACTTTCATTAAACATTGATAACAATAAGAAACATTCCTTGAACAGCAATCAGCATATTAGAATATTTTCTGAAGGATCATGACTGAAGACTGGAATAATGGAGCTTGGAATGTAATAAATAAAAAAAATTAAATATATTAAAATATAAAACAGTTATTTAAAAGAAAATTTCACAATATTTCAGTGTTTTACTATTTTTGATTAAAGAAAGTAACCTAATTGAACAAAAACATGAAACTTTTGAATGACAGTGTGTGTATATCAAATATGGTGATCCTGCAGGTCCATGAAGCCAAGGTGCTAAAAAAGCTGTATGAGGTCATGGTGTGGTCCCTCGGGCAGGTGATGTCTGTGCTTGTAGTTCAGGAACACCATCTCTGGCTGAACCTGGCTGAGACGCGAGATGCAGACAAAGTTTGCTTTCTTGATGCTCCCAGCTCTCAGGCTGGCCTCTTCGGCAACACTGTAGAGGACTTTGCCCAGCAGTTCTTGGCAGTCCAGAAGCAGACAGAGGCCAAAAAGCACATCTTGCCTCGGCATGATTCAGCTGCCACCAAGCCACCAAGGTTGGGTTCTACACCTGCTCATTGCCGAGGGCATCCCCCTGTGTCCCGTTGGATGGTGACACAGCCCGATTCTCAGGGCACCGCTAAGTCTTCTAAGAAGATAGAAGACTTATGGGTGACCCAGGGACAGAGGGAACTGCCCCAGAGGGTGGTGACTCACCGGAAGAGGGCCTGGGGCTTACATCTGGTGACCCAATGACCAGCAGTAGCCAAAACATCACAAAAAAAGCCGTTTTCTCAATCCCTGTGTCAGATACGTCAGGGTCTGATAATGAGCAATATTATGCTTTCTTATGTTCAGTCTTGACGCCTTCTTTGGCCACAGGCCAAGAGGATGCGGTTGCAGGATGCGCTGCTTCGTCACACACCTCCTGCCAACCCTTACATTGCCAGCTGTTTTATTCCATGACCGAGGTCCCCCTTGGCATGGATGCACTGGCACACAGCTGGCCCAGAGGTCTGTGCAAGTATGCATTTCCCCCAGCGAGCCTCCTTGCACAGACTCTGTGCAAGATCAAGGAGGACGTGGAGCAGGTCTTGTTGGTTGCACCCTACCGGCCCACTCGGACCTGGTTCTCGGACCTGATGGTCCTCGCGACAGCCCCTCCCTGGCGGATTCTCTTGAGGAAGGACCTCCTTTCTCAGGGATGAGGGCACCATTTGGCACCTGTCCAGATCTCTGGAACCTCCACGTGTGGCTCCTGGATGGGACACGTCAGACTTAAGTGGCTTACCACAGGCAGTAATAGATACTATCACTCAGGCTAGAACCCCCTCTACTAGGCAGGCTTATGCCCTAAAGTGGAATCTGTTTGCTGAGTGGTGCTCTTCTCACCAAGAAGACCCCGGAGATGACAGATCAGTGTTGTGCTTTCCTTTCTGCAGGCGAGGTTGGAGCGGAGGCTGTTCCCCTCCACCTTGAAAGTGTATGTTGCCACCATTGCATCAATGAGCTCCTGGACAGTCTGTGGTGCTACTTGGCTGCTTCGGATGCTCTGATACATAACATCATAGAGGTTCTCAATTGGATCCAGGTCTGGGGAAGCTGCCCTCACACTTTGATCAATTGAAGCCTGCATTGCCTGCTTTTTTAGTAAGGGTACAGTTGGCTATAGGTCTGTGCGATGCTCCAAGAATAATTCTCCCCAGAACATCTCTAACTCTCATCTGTGAAGAGTACAGGGCACCAGATGTAGTGGACCTGCCAAATCTGGTGTTCTCTGGCAAACACCAATCCAGCTGCAAAGTGCTGGACTGTAAGCACAGTTCACACTAGGGGTTTTCATCTAAAATTGCTTGAGGTCCAGTAATGAACCCTCCTCACAAGCCGAGGTCTGGACAATTATATACCTAAACACATGAATTGATGGTTTTTGCCAGACCAGGGTATCTGCAAGATATTTAAGCTCATGTTAAAGACTTTTTAGGACCTTTTTTAAGACCTGCACAAATTAAATTAAAATGACTGTAAAAAGCATGATTTAGCCAGTTTAGATACAGGTTCTCAGAAAATGATAAACTTCACATTTCAGCCTTTAAACTAGGGCTGCACGATAAATCGCATGCGATATTTAACGCGCATCTTGTCAGTAAAGCCGTTCTGTAATCAGCGGTAAATCTCCATCACCTGCGTGCTTTCACATTGAGCAGCATTAACTACACAGAGCCGTTGTTCTCTGACGAGCTACGCAAAACCACGTTCATATTCGTGCGATTTTTGGCGCAGCTCGTCAGAGAACAACGGCTCTGTGTAGTTAATGCTGCTCAATGTGAAAGCACGCAGGTGATGGAGATTTACCGCTGATTACAGAACCGGTTTTCTGACAAGATGCGCGTTAAATATCGCATGCGATTTATCGTGCAGCCCTAGTATTAATGTAATGTAATTATGTAAATAGTTAACATATGACTAAGTAAAATGTAATTTGAACTATATAAATGTCCATCACTCTTTTTTTAATTTGTTAATTTTTGTGACGTTCCCAGGTCTGTAAATTTGGAAAATTAAAAAATTTAAATTTATAGACCATGGAAACTATTTAACATAAAAAAACTAAGTATATAAAATAAATAAGAGTATATACAGAAGTTTCAATTAGTATATTAATTAAATAACATGTAAATATATGTTACTGTCTTTAATTGTTTACATTTTTATAATGCATTATCTTGTCGATCCACCATTTCACATTTACAACTTTCATTTCATTCACATTTGCGTGTTTGCTGCGTAAAAACATGGGTTGATTTTCACATTGGTCTGAACAAAAACAGCAGAAGGGCTTATTGAAAATGCACATTTATTCTCTGCCAACAGGAGCGGCAGAAATACAGCGGTTTCCCCTGTAGCGGCTGTACAAATCAGGGCAGCAGCTGACTTTGAAACCAGGTCTGGGGAAGCTGCCCTCACACTTTGATCAATTGAAGCCTGCATTGCCTGCTTTTTTAGTAAGGGTACAGTTGGCTATAGCACGTGGAGGTCTATGCGATGCTCCAAGAATAATTCTCCCCAGAACATCTCTAACTCTCATCTGTGAAGAGTACAGGGCACCAGATTTAGTGGACCTGCCAAATCTGGTGTTCTCTGGCAAACACCAATCCAGCTGCAAAGTGCTGGACTGTGAGCACAGTTCACACTAGGGGTTTTCATCTAAAATTGCTTGAGGTCCAGTAATGAACCCTCCTCACAAGCCGAGGTCTGGACAATTATATACCTAAACACATGAATTGATGGTTTTTGCCAGACCAGGGTATCTGCAAGATATTTAAGCTCATGTTAAAGACTTTTTAGGACCTTTTTTAAGACCTGCACAAATTAAATTAAAATGACTGTAAAAAGCATGATTTAGCCAGTTTAGATACAGGTTCTCAGAAAATGATAAACTTCACATTTCAGCCTTTAAACTAGGGCTGCACGATAAATCGCATGCGATATTTAACGCGCATCTTGTCAGTAAAGCCGTTCTGTAATCAGCGGTAAATCTCCATCACCTGCGTGCTTTCACATTGAGCAGCATTAACTACACAGAGCCGTTGTTCTCTGACGAGCTGCGCAAAACCACGTTCATATTCGTGCGATTTTTGGCGCAGCTCGTCAGAGAACAACGGCTCTGTGTAGTTAATGCTGCTCAATGTGAAAGCC